AATGTGGTCGACTCCCGCTCCCAACTCTCTGCAGCTCCTCGTTACATAAACATAAACAATTGTGGTTTTGAAAAACTCTGAAATTGTGTTTGACAGTTCTCTGACATGTTCAACGGTGTATTTTTATATTTGTAAATAAATGATTCTCTTTCACAAACATTCAACACACAAACCGTCTCAAAATGAGGCTTTGTAGAATATTTGGCCAACAACGTTTGTGCTTCTCATTGAAACAACATCTTTGTGTCTGAGTGGTTAGCACTTTCGCTTCTCAGTAAGGCTTCCTGGGTTCGTTTGCATGTTCTACCTGTGCCTGCTTTGGTTTCCTCTGGGTGCTCCGGTTCCCCCTACGCCTAAAAACATGTACAATTTGTAAAATCCTCCAGCGCTGGTCCTGATCGACCGCTGTACCACTGTCAGGATGGGTCAAAGGATGAAATAAATAAAGTGCACCTTTAACTCTCTCTCTGCTCTCTCTCTGGTCTCTCTCTCTCTCTGGTCTCTCTGCTCTCTCTCTCTGGTCTCTCTGCGGTCTCTCTCTCTGGTGTCTCTCTCTCTGGTCTCTCTCTCTCTGCTCTCTCTCCAGTCTCTCTCTCTGCTCTCTCTCTCTGCTCTCTCTCTCTGGTCTCTCTCTCTGGTGTCTCTCTCTCTGGTCTCTCTCTCTCTGCTCTCTCTCTCTGGTCTCTCTCTGGTCTCTCTCTCTGGTCTCTCTCTCTCTGGTCTCTCTCTCTCTGGTCTATCTCTCTCTGGTCTATCTCTCTCTGGTCTCTCTCTCTGCTCTCTCTCTCTGCTCTCTCTCTCTGCTCTCTCTCTCTGGTATCTCTCTGGTCTCTCTCTCTGCTCTCTCTCTCTGCTCTCTCTCTGGTCTCTCTCTCTGCTCTCTCTCCAGTCTCTCTCTGGTCTCTCTCTCTGCTCTCTCTCTGGTCTCTCTCTCTCTGGTCTCTCTCTCCAGTCTCTCTCTGGTCTCTCTCTGGTCTCTCTCTCTCTCTCTGGTCTCTCTCTCCAGTCTCTCTCTGGTCTCACTCTGGTCTCTCTCTGGTCTCTCTCTCTCTCTCTGCTCTCTCTCTCTGGTCTCTCTCTCTCTCTCTGCTCTCTCTCTCTGGTCTCTCTCTGGTCTCTCTCTGCTCTCTCTCTGGTCTCTCAGGATGTGTCAAATGTAGAGGACACATTCCCCTACAGCATAAAACTAATATATAAAACTTAAATAATGACAACGTCTGTAAGCGCTTGGACCCAACTTTGAATCTTGAGCGCCCCCTGGAGGATCTTTGTAAATGTATTGTCTGCAAGTTAGCAGCAAAAACATTAAATTTACCAAATGAAAGCATCATTAAATATTATAGAGACTAAAATCATGCTCTACTTCAGCAGTTAATAGATAATGATGACTCTTTTATTGACCTTACATTGAAACTGCAGTACTCAGTTTGTCCACTAGAGTTCAGTGTAGAGTCACACATGGGTTTCAGATCAGTTTAAAGGAAGTTAAGAAGTCGAGATTTTAAGGCAAAATATGAAGTTATTCTAAGTAATTAATTATTGTTCTAAGTAACTAATTGGAAAAATATCAGGACAACTTTCTGCTCTCATGTAATCCTTGTTGAGTTTGAAATAAGTGAAAAGAATAGAAACAGATGTAGTTGTAAATGTAAACTTTGAAATGCTGTTGTAAAGCTCCTGCGTTGTTCAGTAGCACTCGACCTATTTGGACATTTAATAAACATTTATCAATATTACAGCATTTTAATTTGCTTTTTTTTCACAGCGGTGGTTAATCCAGTCTAATATGCATATGTTATTGTATTTCCTTACCTACTACTCTGAAATTAAAGTATCATTTAGTCTTGAATTGAGGAATGACATCTGTTTTCATGATGTTGTCATCAGGGTATTTATAAAAAAGAAAAAATCTCAATTAAATCTATTTCAAGTCATTTCAATGGATGAGATGATTTTCCATTTGGTGTATAGATGGACATCGTTAACCTGCTAGCTCAATGAAGCCCGATCGGGAAGTGCTCATGGATGAAGTTTTGCTCAAACTCGCCCTATTGGCTCCTATTTGACTTTCATTGAGAAGTGCTCAGTAACTGTTTGTGTCACACTCACCTTTTTTATCTTAAATATCCGTGGTTTAGTTTTCTTTGTGGTCTTTGTCTTTAGATATGAGACATCCGTTGCCTTCATTCCAGCTTGCCTTAGCAATCATGTTAGCAACACATCTGATCTTGTTAGGGCGCCAAGCTTACGCCATTGAAACACATGCCCATATAAGGAAGTTGGCTCCAGCTAGCTTATGTTCAATATGGCTTCTCCCACATTAAGGCTAACACTGTGGTGACGTCAAATCTGGGTTAGCCTAGCCTTAGCCATCCGTAAACTCTGGTCCATGATCATTTCCTACATGTACGTCTGGGTCTGATCCTAGTGGCTACTGTGACCTCGGTTGAATCCCCTCCGACCAATCAGAGAGCGGGGGAGGCGGGTGTTGTAGGTCGTTGTCGGTGACGTCAAGAGTTTGTGCCAAATTTACTGGTTGTAGTTTGGCGGAGAATGCGATAGTAATATAATCTGTTCTGATTCAGCTCCAAATATAAAAGAAACTGAAGCCGGAGCAAGAGGAATGTTTAGTAAATGTCATTATGTTGTTGTGGCTCTTCTCCCCACGGGCTACGTCAGTGGCAAAGGATATGGCTAAAGCTAGGCTAAATGCTAAAGCTAGGCTTAATACAAAATGCCTCACTCACTCGGGCTCATTACATACGTCACGGTAAATTCAGATCCAATCGTTTCAATCTCCAACAGGAGTTAGCCCCTCCCACCTGTTAACAGAGTCAATGGAGCAAATCCAGACCTTAGTATGAAATGAAATTAGTATGGTGGTATGGTAAGACCAGGTCCTCCTGTGGACTCACCACCTGCAGAGGGTCAGTGAGGGGCTGGTGCTATGAGACTTGGGTGGCATCTCTGACTGCCACCCCCCTGACCCAGAAATGGATTAAAGGGTAGAAAATGGATGGATGGATGGTATGGTAAGACCAGGCTAGAGCTGTGTCTGTCCACTCCTGATATATAATCTAAGGTACGACTGAAAGAATGGAAAAAGTGTAAAATCATGGCCTTAGATAATTAAGTATGATATAAATGAGGTTTAATGTCAACAGGTGTTTGAAGCTGAAGTGCGTCTGAGACTGAAAGTTGAACCATAAATAAATAAAAGACTTTCACACACAAAATGTAACATTTAGTGTCTTGTTTTACAAAACAGTTTTTCAAAATATAGCCAAGGCTCATTCATTTAAATATGCATAAATAGCAAGAAAATATGTTCTCATTTCGATTCAGATAATTCCAAACAGCTTTATACACGAATCGTTACAGAAAAGCATCTGAAAAAGTAGCTTGATCTTGCAGTGAACACAAGCTTATACGACTTAAGCGACTGTTGATTTGATCATAACTGTACATTTCTGTAAAACACTCAAAACAACAATAAACCAAACCTTATTCAAGTCTTTGAAGTAGTACACATCTTTGGATCGAGTGCTTGGCCTCACATCAACAATGCCACCGACAGTATGTACAATAGTGCAGACGAAGTGTTGGAGCAGCAGGACTCCCTCAAAAACACAGACTCCGACAAGAGCCGAGATCACGTTTACAGGTTTTTACATTCAATGCTTGAAGTAAAGAGTTGTCGTCCACTGCATAGGGTGTGTGTCGTCTTTGCATAAGTCTCCACCTCGACAATAATACTACAGCATCATTCACTCAAATGCCTTCGTTGTTAAGTAAACGTGGTGAGCAAACCCGACATCGTAAGCATAAAGTGGAGAATGTTCTTTTCATGAAAACATGTGTCGGGAGGAATCAGACTGGGTCCTCAAAGGGCCGCTGCAGGTTTTCATTCCAACCAAGCAGATTTTTAATTCAACCAAGCAGGAGCACAGCAGACTCCACCCAGGTCTTCAGGTTTTCAGGTTCAGACTGGACGCACTTGATGAAATAGGTGGAGACTGGTGTGCTCCTGCTGGGACTCTGAGGAGCACAGGGACTGGCCTCCTGCTGGGACTCTGAGGAGCACAGGGACTGGCCTCCTGCTGGGACTCTGAGGAGCACAGGGACTGGCCTCCTGCTGGGACTCTGAGGAGCACAGGGACTGGCCTCCTGCTTAGACTCTGAGGAGCACAGGGACTGGCCTCCTGCTGGGACTCTGAGGAGCACAGGGACTGTCCTCCTGCTGGGACTCTGAGGAGCACAGGGACTGGCCTCCTGCTGGGACTCTGAGGAGCACAGGGACTGGCCTCCTGCTGGGACTCTGAGGAGCACAGGGACTGGCCTCCTGCTGGGACTCTGAGGAGCACAGGGACTGGCCTCCTGCTGGGACTCTGAGGAGCACAGGGACTGGTCTCCTGCTGGGACTCTGAGGAGCACAGGGACTGGTCTCCTGCTGGGACTCTGAGGAGCACAGGGACTGGCCTCCTGCTGGGACTCTGAGGAGCACAGGGACTGGTCTCCTGCTGGGACTCTGAGGAGCACAGGGACTGGTCTCCTGCTGGGACTCTGAGGAGCACAGGGACTGGCCTCCTGCTGGGACTCTGAGGAGCACAGGGACTGGCCTCCTGCTGGGACTCTGAGGAGCACAGGGACTGGCCTCCTGCTGGGACTTTGAGGAGCACAGGGACTGGTCTCCTGCTGGGACTCTGAGGAGCACAGGGACTGGTCTCCTGCTGGGACTCTGAGGAGCACAGGGACTGGCCTCCTGCTGGGACTCTGAGGAGCACAGGGACTGGCCTCCTGCTGGTCCCAGAGTGAAGACTAAACATGGGGAGGAAGCGTTTCATATTTATGCTGCTAAAATCTGGAACATTTCATGAACTGTGCTATACAAATAAACTTGGGAATAAAAACCTGCAGCCACACACCCGTCCTGGACCCAGTCTGAACCCCTGACAATGAAAGTCCTTGGTCGTCAGTACAGTTTACAAAAGGTGCACATGTCACTTGGCCTGCTCGGACATGGGAGGAGCCCGCTCCAGACCCATGGCCCAGGGGTCAGAGGGCGTGCTGTAGAACTGAGAGTGAGAGAGAAGATCCGCTCCAGAGATGGTGAAGGCGAACATTCCACTCTGACGCCCTGCTCTGGACTTGTGCTTGTCGGGGCTGACGGCTTTACCCTCTTCCCTCACACTGTCCTGGGGCTCTCGCTCAGACCCTTTGAACCCCAGACCCCTGATGCCGAGTCCGAGCATCTCCCCGAGCGCGTGGGTCTTGACGGGGTAAGAGGAGCTCAGAGCGGCCTCCTCGAAGCGGTTGATGGGGTTGGTGGGCGGACACAGGAAGTTGGTGGGCGTGGTGGATCTCCAGGCGGCGGGTTTTCGGCCTCGTCGGGGGCGGGACACGCGGCAGCTCTGCCTCTTGATGTGGCGGTGCAGGTGGTCGGAGCGAGTGAAGCTCTTGTAGCAGTGTTCGCACTGGTACGGCCGCACCCCGGTGTGGATCCGCAGGTGGTTCTTCAGGTCGTAGTTGTGGACGAACTTGGAGTTACAGTGAAGGCAGATGTACGGACGCTCCCCCGTGTGCTTCCTCATGTGGATCTTTAACTTGTCCTGTCTGCAAACATAAGTGTCAAGTATTAGATCTTACAGATTTTTGAATTGTTTTAAATTGTATTGTAGATGATGGAACAATGGAGCATTCAGTTACAATCAATTATTTAAGAAAAAATGTAAATATATATCTTTTTTTACGTTTTATTTTTTACTTTAAGGGAAAGAAAATCAAGAAATTGTTGCAAAACAGGAAAATAAGGATGATAATAATGATCAAGTATAAAATAAAATAAATAAAAAATAATGGATTTTTTAAGATACAAAAAACGTTCTTGTCAGCTCTTGTTTTACAGATGAAACTCTGAAAATTTGTTTTTTTAAAGTCTATACAATGTGAAACTAATATCATTACAGGCAAAGTGACATAGATTTAGCCTCTTTCGCTAAAATGCTAATATTTGTGACTCTTGGTCGCCGTGGTTACCAAAGAATTTCCACTGTTACTCGTGTGTGGTGGGTAGGTTGGAAACACAACCGAGCAGTTTACAGTAGAGTAGCTTAAAGTAGAGCAGAGGAGAGGAGAGCCAAATAAATAGACTTTTGAGGTTCTAACGATAGTCTAGTTTCACCTACAGTAAAAAAAGATGTGTTTGATATTCAGTTCTCAAATATACATCTTGTTTTAGATCATTAAGTGGCTAAAACTAGTCAGAAACAGGATGTTGATAATGAACTGATGAAACCAAAGTGCGGGGGCTTTCCACCTTCAGTGAGAGATGTAGATAAAGACCGAAAGAGCAGAATCGGAGGTGTATTTTCCATGAACCGTGACGCCGTGTGGCTCAGTACCTGGTGAAGCGGACCTCACAGATGGTGCACATGTAGGGCTTCTCCCCTGTGTGCGTCCGCATGTGGCGGGGCAGTTTCCCGGCGCCCTGGATCACCTTGTTGCAGATGGGACACTGCTGCGACGCTTTCGGCTTCATCTTCCTCTCCTCCTCCAGCTGCCACGGCGGGAACAGCCCCCCCAGGTGCGACGCCGAACTCAGGAAGCTCAGGTACGATCGGAACTCGGCCTCGTCTTTGATCTGACCCATGGCGTGCCCGTCTGCGGACACCGACCCCGGGCTGGGATTGGCGCCACGGGCTACGTACTCTTTCGCGTAATCGCCGTTGAGGATTGTGGGTGGAGCCTCCTCTTTCATCTCCTCTTTGATGATTTCTTGTTTGACGGCGAGGTCCAATGGTCGGGGGTTGTCGTGGGAGATGGCGGTGGGGGGGAAGGGGCTGGCGAGGTGGCTCTGATGGGAGGCCGGAATGTGGCTGGGGTCGAGGAACTGTTGTGAGAATCCAGGGAAGTCCGTGGCCCAGACTGAGGGGTAGAAGCTGGGCAGGAGCGGGGAGAGATGAGGCCGTCGGTCCAGCGTGGGCATGCGAGGGTACAGCCCCTCCTGAAGCAGCGACTCGATGGAGAAGTCCTTCAACGTGCGACTTTCGAGACTCTCCTGAAATCACACCATCATTAGAATTGGTGTTATTGTATTTTCAACGTCTGAGACTCAAATTCAATGATTCTGAATAATACTGACTTCAGTGGCATTTATTATTATTTCTTATTATTATTCTATTCTCAAGGGCTTTTGTTTTTAATTATAATAATGCATGGGTTTTATACAGCGCTTTTCCGTCACTCCAATTACTTCTTCACTCCAATCATGGTGGTGATAAACTACTACTATAGCCACAGCTGCCCTGGGGCAGAATGACAGAAGCCAGGCAACCAGTCTGCACCATCAGCCCACAAGACAGCGTGTTGTGATCTGATTTGTTCACAAAAGAGACTTATTTGGGTGGGGGTGTATTAATGTTTGCATGTGTTAAACAATGTATATAACTTGGCAAAAGTCAGATTGATGATTGACTCAAATGAGTTACCACAATATCAATCTGGGACTTTCCAGGGAAAGGAGGGGCAGGCAGCAGAATACTTCAAGCTGATTGGGCGAAGTTTGCCCGCCTACCACGGTTTGACTTAAGCCAATCACGTTAACAAATGAATATGTCACCATCGGCGTGCGCCCGGGGAGAGTTGCTATGGACTTCTATTTGGATTATAACGGCCTTGGAATAACTGCACAAGACTTCCTCACAGACCGACCCCTTATGAGCATTTTAGTTTGACTCCGGACCAAAGCCTTCAGTTGTGGAGTTGGAGCTGTACCTGTTTTCTCGTTGACTGTGTTGACGGTAACCGCGGTGTCGGCTGCGCGTGGGAGGAGGTGTTGGGAGGGGGGGAGGAGCCAGCCCCCGACGGCGTCTGCCCACGGCTCTCCGACGACCTCACCGACTGGTCACTGTTATCATTGTCGTCCTCGTCGCGCTCGTCTTTCCTACAACCCTCCTCTTCCTCATCCTCCTCCTCTTCCTCCTCCTCCTCCTCTTCCTCTTCCTCCTCCTCCTCTTCATCGTCTCTCGCTCCTCCCCCCCCTCCCTCACTGTCCATGATCTCCAAACACACGTTGACGATACAGGGGATTTCTAACATCTGTGCGGCGGTTAGAATCTCTTTGACGTTGGAGGCGGTGATGGTGAGAGTGGAGGTGTAGGCGAAGTCCAAGATGGCGGCCAGAGAGTCTGGAGCCACAAAGTCGATCTGGTACACGGCGGCGGCGGCGTGGTGCGGCTGTGCTCCGTCCGCCGCCGTGAAGAGCTTCTTGAAGTACTGGCTGCAGGCGGCGAGCACGGAGCGGTGGGTGCGGTGCTCCTGCTCCTGGACGATGAGGACCACGTCGCACAGGAGCCCGTCGCGCCGCTGCTGGTTCAGGCTGCACAGGACGTCGCTGCTGTGGTTCGGGAACGGGATCCCGATCAGGTCCTCGTCCCGGTGGCGCACCATGGCTCCAGGCGGCGAAGGGGAACGTTGGCTGGAGAGAAATCAGGAAAAACACAATTCAATACAAAATAATATAAATACTGCTCGATGTGAGCGACGTGACGGTATTGGTACAGCACGATTCATACACAAGGCAACTCAACAAACAAAAATAAGGGTCGATTCCACCTTCGGACCTTTCTCTGTGGAGTTTGCATGTTCTCCCCGTGTCTGCCTAGATTTCCTCCAGGTGCTCCGGTTTCCCCTACCACTAAACACATGTACAGTACTGTAGGTCTGAATGCATGAACCCGTGTGTGGCGTGAGAGTGGGACATTACATTTCAACAGATGCCATTTGAATGAATACAAAATTAATTAGTAAAAAGTTAGTGTTTAGGTGGCACCTGGAAGACCCCGTCCGACCTCTGAAGCTAAGCAGGGCAGGGCCGGGTTAGTACTGTGATGGGAGACCTATGGGAACACCAGGTGGCACAGTGGGGCGGTTGCAGCTGTAAAGTGCCAAACTGTGGTTGTGTCCTTAGGCAAGACACTTCACTCACATTAGAATGAGTCTGGTGTGTGTGTGACAGGTTGGTGGTGGTGGGAGGGGCCGATGGCACAGACTGGTTGCCTCGCTTCTGTCAGTGTGCCCCAGGGCAGCTGCGGCTACTAGTAGTTTATCACCACCGTGTATGGAGTGAAATAAAAATGAAACACTGTGGAGCGACTGTGAAAAAAAATTCTATTATTATCATTTTATACAAGTCTTTTTTAAGTGTTAAAATCGAACAGTAAGATTAGGCACAGACAACATTTCATACTAATAAAATATATATAAATAAAATATATAAAAATCATATATATTTCTAAACCTGATTCAGAGAATATTTGTTATCGCGGCGTCACGAGACAGAAAGGTTTTTAAAGTATATATTAGATGACAGAGTAGTGAAGTCACAGCTGTGTCTCTGGTTCATTGATGTTTGTGATCGGCAGTTTCTCTCACAGTGAGCAGTGACTGACAGTTTGGGCTTATTCAAATATACTGTGGGTTTGTTACGGCGCCATCTGTGCCCCACACGTGGTAAACACAGCCTGAGCTCACTCTGATGTTGATTCCAAACATACAATCACTCGGTGTTTAGAAGAGGATACATTAAAAATAAAGTAGTATTTTTTATTTAAAGGCATTTTTTGTGTGACAAATTTGGCTCTGGGGACTTTTTAATTATATTCATTATTTTTGTATTGGCCTAAATCACAAAATTGGTCGTTGTTGATTCGCCAACACCAGATCAGAGAATCAAACTGCAGTAATATATGTTTATTTTATCACCTGTCACCCAACCCCAACCTCCCCCGGCCATCACCCCCAACTTTACCCGTTATCCACCCCCGCCCTCACCCATCATCCACCCCCAACCTCACCCATCATCCACCCCCAACCTCACCCATCATCCACCCCCAACCTCACCCATCATCCACCCCCAACCTCACCCATCATCCACCCCCAACCTCACCCATCATCCACCCCCCCTCACCCATCATCCACCCCCAACCTCACCCATCATCCACCCCCTCACCCTCATCCACCCCCACACCTCACCCAACCCACCCCAACCTCCCCACCCCACCCACCCCCCAACCACCCCCCCCCCACCCACCCCCACCCCCCACCCACCCCCCCTCACCCCCACCCCCCCCCACCCCCACCCACACCCTACCACCCCCCCCCACCCCCCATCCACCCCCCCCCCCACCACCCCCCACCCCACCCCTCCCCACCCCACACCCCACCACCCCCCCACCCCCACCACCCCCCACCCCCCACACCCTAACACTCCACCCCCCCACCACCCACCCCCCCACACCCCAACCCCCACCCCCCCCCCTACACCCCCCCCCCCCACCCCACCACACCCCCCCCCCAACCCCCCCACCCCCCCCCCCACCCCCCCCCCCCACCCCCCACCACCCCCCCCACCTACCCACCCCCCCCCCTACCAACCCCACCCCCCCACCCCACCCCCCACCCCCCACCCACCCCCACCCCACCACCCCCCCCCCCCCACCCCACCCACATCCACCCCCAACCTCACCCATCATCCCACCCCCAACCTCACCCATCATCCACCCCCAACCTCACCCATCATCCACCCCCAACCTCACCCATCATCCACCCCCCCAACCTCACCCACCATCCACCCCAACCTCACCCATCATCCACCCCCCCCCTCACCCATCATCCACCCCCAACACCCATCACCCCCCCCATCACCCCATCCACCCCCACCTCACCCTCATCCACCCCCAACCTCACCCATCATCCACCCCCAACCTCACCCATCATCCACCCCCAACCTCACCCATCATCCACCCCCCCAACCTCACCCATCATCCACCCCCACCCCCCAATCCACCCCCACCTCACCCATCATCCACCCCCAACCTCACCCATCATCCACCCCCCAACCTCACCCATCATCCACCCCCAACCTCACCCATCATCCACCCCCAACCTCACCCATCATCCACCCCCAACCTCACCCATCATCCACCCCCAACCTCACCCATCATCCACCCCCAACCTCACCCATCATCCACCCCCAACCTCACCCATCATCCACCCCCAACCTCACCCATCATCCACCCCCAACCTCACCCATCATCCACCCCCACCTCACCCATCATCCACCCCCAACCTCACCCATCATCCACCCCCAACCTCACCCATCATCCACCCCCAACCTCACCCATCATCCACCCCCAACCTCACCCATCATCCACCCCCAACCTCACCCATCATCCACCCCCACCCTCACCCATCATCCACCCCCAACCTCACCCATCATCCACCCCCAACCTCAACCCATCCCCCCACCCACCTCCCACCCCCACCTCCCCCATCACCCCCCTCACCCCACCACCACCCCCCCCCCCACCCCCCCACCACCCCCCCCCACACCCCCACCCCCCCACACCCCCCCCCACCCCCCCCCCCCCCCCCCCCACCCCCCCCCACCCCCCCCCACCACCCCCCCCCCACCCCCCCCCCCCCCCCCCCCCCACCCCCCACCCCCCCCCCCCCCCCACCCCCCCCACCCCCCCCCCCCCACCCACCACCACCCCCCCCCCCCACCCCCCCCCCCCCCCCCCCACCCCCCACCCCCCCCCCCCACCCAACCCACCACCCCCCCCCCCCCCCCCCCCCCCCCACCCCCACCACCCCCCCCCCCCCCCCCCCACACCCCCCCCCCCCACCCCCCACCCCCCCCCCACCCCCACCCCCCCCCACCCCACCACCCCCCCCCCCCACCCCCCCACCCCCCCCCCCCACCCCCTCACCACCCCAACCCCCCACCACCCACCCCCCATCCCCCCCCCCCCATCATCCACCCCCCCCCCCCATCATCCACCCCCCCTCACCCATCATCCACCCCAACCTCACCCTCATCACCCCCACCTCACCCCACCCCCCATCCCACCCATCCCACCCCCAACCCCACCCATCATCCACCCCCCCCCACCCATCCCCCCCCCACCCCACCCCCCATCCCCCCACCCACCCCCCCACACCCCCCCCCACCATCCCCCCCAACCCACCCCCCATCCACCCCCAACCCCACCCATCCCCCCACCCCCCCAACCCCCCACCCACCCACATCCACCCCCACCCCCCCATCACCCACACCCCCCCCACCCATCATCCACCCCTCCCTCACCCATCATCCACCCCCAACCCCACCCATCATCCACCCCCCCCCCCACCACCCACCATCCACCCCCGCCCTCACCCATCATCCACCCCTGCCCTCACCCCATCATCCACCCCCAACCCCACCCATCATCCACCCCAACCTCACCCATCATCCACCCCCGCCCTCACCCATCATCCACCCCTGCCCTCACCCATCATCCACCCCTGCCCTCACCCATCATCCACCCCCAACCTCACCCATCATCCACCCCCAACCCCACCCATCATCCACCCCCGCCCTCACCCATCATCCACCCCTGTCCTCACCCATCATCCACCCCCAACCCCACCCATCATCCACCCCAACCTCACCCATCATCCACCCCCGCCCTCACCCATCATCCACCCCAACCCCACCCATCATCCACCCCAACCTCACCCGTCATCCACCCCCAACCTCATCCGTCATCCACCCCCAACTTTACCTGTCACCCACCCATCATCCACCCCCAACTTTACCTGTCATTCACCCCCAACCTCACCCATCATCCACCCCTAAACTCACCCATCATCCAACCCCCACTTTACCCGTCATTCACCCCCAACCTCACCCATCATCCACCCCCCACTTTACCCGTCATCCACCCATCATCCACCCCCCACTTTACCCGTCATCCACCCCCAACCTTTACCCTTCATCCACCCCCAACTTTACCCGTCACTCACCCCCAACCTCACCTGTCATCAATCCCCAACTTTACCCGTCATCCCCCCCCAACTTTACCTGTCACCCACCCATCATCCACCCCTAAACTCACCCATTATCCACCCCCCACTTTACCCGTCATCCATCCCCAACCTCACCCGTCATCCAGCCCCAAACTTTACCCGTCATCAACCCCAACCTTTACCCTTCATCCACCCCAAACCTCACCCATCATGCACCCCCAACTTTTACCCGTCATCCACCCCCAACCTCACCCATCATCCATCCCCAACTTTACCCGTTATCCACCCCCAACATCACCCGTCACTCACCCCCAACCTCACCTGTCATCAACCCCCAACTTTACCCGTTATCCACCCCCAACATCACCCGTCACTCACCCCCAACCTCACCTGTCATCAACCCCCAACTTTAACCGTTATCCACCCCCAACATCACCCGTCACTCACCCCCAACCTCACCTGTCATCAACCCCCAACTTTACCCGTCATCAATTCCCAACTTTACCCGTCATCAACCCCCTCCCCCATATTTTTATATGACTATATTTCTATCACTCAAGGGTCTATTCTAACACGTGTTTTTGAATTGTCTTTGTTCCCAGTGTGCAGTAAAGTGTGGTTCTTGTTGAGATGAATCTGTACTTGTGTGTGCGTCTGTGTGTGTGTGTGTGCGTCTGTGTGTGTGCGTGTGTGTGTGTGTGTGTGCGTCTGTGTGTGTGTGTGCGTCTGTGTGTGTGCGTGTGTGTGTGCATCTGTGTGTGTGTGTGTGTGCGTCTGTGTGTGTGTGTGTGTGTGTGTGCGCGTCTGTGTGTGTGTGTGCGTCTGTGTGTGTGCGTGTGTGAGAGAGTGAAGAATGAGGGCTGGGTAGATTACTATAACTTGTATTTAAAATGGAATGTCATTGATGGTGTAAACTACAGTATCACTCCTGCTACAACTTGGTACAATAAATCTGTCCCTTTGGCTGTTGTTTATTGTATATCGTCCTCGTCAAAAATAAAAATCATATCAAATGTCGTGGAAAGTGGAAGAAAACAAAAGCAGGTCAAATTGTGCCACTGCGTCTGTGATATCACACGTTTCCTGTGTCATACTGATTTACACACTAATCCTTCATTTTGATAAGACGTGTCTGACTTTCTGTCTTCTCTCTCGTCCACAGCTGCTCTTCTACCTGTTGATTCTGTCTTCTCTCTCGTCCACAGCTGCTCTTCTACCTGTTGATTCTGTCTTCTCTCTCGTCCACAGCTGCTCTTCTACCTGTTGATTCTGTTGATTCTGTTGTTTGTGGCAAAGTGCTGATTCATTCAGGTCTAAGAAAAGAGCGTCAGGATCCAGTCCAGGCTCGGCGGTCACTGAGGCCCGAGGACAGAGACTGGCCACAAGCTGCATTGTTGAGTCGGAATGGGACAGGGTAAGAAACCACACAACTACACGCACACACACACACACACAGACGCACACACGCTCACACACACACACACACACACACACAGTGACACACAAGCAGACAGACGCTCACACACACACATATACAGACGGACGTGCATACACAAATACACACACGCATGTACAGACACACATGCGTGCACACAGGCATACACATGTTAATACATACAGACGCATACGAACACACAGACATGCGCACACACAAACAGACAAAGACACAGACATATACACACAGACTGCACAGGCACGCACGCATACACACACACATACATGCACACATACACACACAATCACACACACAAGATATAATCAACTTTCTTGATCTCACAATGGAGAAATTTACATGCACACACACACACAGACACACTCATACTCACACTTGTACAAACATGAACACACACGTGCACACACACACACATGCTCATACACACACTTGCACCCACACTTACACACACACACACACACACACACACATGCAAAAAAAGAAAAAGATGAGAATCTAGAAAATCCTTTAGTTCACCTGCAGGTATACATCTCAAATACCAATCTCTGTAGTTTATTCTTGTCTGCTCTGTTGCTAGGTAACGGTTGCTATGCCATTGATGCAGAATGGACATAATTAAGATATCTTTACATGAGGCAGTAGTACTTCAACCGGCTACACAGTAAAACTTCACACCAAGGTCAAAGGAAGCTCAAAAATGCAGATGAACGGACACAAAGAGAGGTGGAATATTTGGTTTCTGTCCCTGTGTGAGTTCGATATTATATTATTATATTATTAACAAAACCTCGTCTGTATTCCGTCAAAAATAGTGATTCTCCCGTACCCCGCACCATCGCAAACGCCTGTGTCTAAGGTGCGAGAATTCCCAGATAAAGAGGAGACGGCTGTTAAAGTTCCTGAACAGGTTGCACAAACACAAGAACAGTGGCTCCTCCCTGAAAGAAACTGCCAAAACAAACAATAACGCCAATCTCTGAACGTACAAGAGAAATGGTACAGGACGAACCACCACCCACGGTAAAGTAGGACAGACACGTGCTACTGCTGCTGCTACTGCTGCTGCTGCTGCTGCTGCTGGACCAGTGACCCAGGACCACACCCCCCTCTATCCTGGTTCCCACTGTTTGCTTGCCCCTTAATTACAGCACAGAGAGAGGATCTGAGGAGGATGTGCCACATAGACACAGGGGGGAGGGAGGGGGAGGGGGAGGGTGAGGATGAGGGAGGGTTAGGGAGGGAGGAGGGCACGCCATTCCCACCACAAGGACCTGGAGCGACATTTCGTCAGCCAAAAAAACCCTTAAGTATCTCCACGCCCACCTACACTGTGCCGTCTGGGTGGGGTGTGTGTAGACAGGGCATGACAAAGTACTCTTTTATGTTGTTTTGCGAAGGGGTAAATGATTTGTCTGGCGAAGGCTTGGAAGGTTTGGATAACGAGACAAAAGTGTGAAGAAGCTACTACTGCTTAATTGTCTTAATGTAAAGAAATTAAGGTCAGTTTCTCTACACTTTCGTCTCGTTAAAAGAACTTTCTAAGCCTTAAATGTAAAGATACTTGATGAATTTTATACATATATTGTTTTGATGTTGTCGATTCTTTGAAAGATTTGTCACAGCAAAAACTTTGGTTCGTCTTCCTTTTGTGTTAATTCATTAAGATTAAGATTAAGATTATGACGTTCTCGATTCGTCCTGCGGCGGGGAAATGTCAGTGAGAAATGAGCAATAACTATATGAGATTAAAATAAAATAAAATAAAGAAGCAAAAAGTAAGTCTAAAATCTGTAATTTAACTTAATAATAGTAATACATCTTATCTATTTAGAGATTTTTGAACATATATGATCAAAGTTGCTTCACACGGTGGTGGTGAACTACTACTGGAGCCACAGCTGCCCTGAGGTCGACTGACGAAAGTGAGGCGGCCAATCTGAGCCTTCTGACCCTGTAACCGCCATCTATCCTTCACACCTCAGTCTGATGATGTATGTCATGTATAATCCTGGGTCTACAGCCTCAGTCCTGGGTCTACAGCCTCAGTCCTGGATCTACAGCCTCAGTCCTGGATCTACAGCCTCAGTCCTGGATCTACAGCCTCAGTCCTGGGTCTACAGCCTCAGTCCTGGATCTACAGCCTCAGTCTTGGATCTACAGCCTCAGTCCTGGATCTACAGCCTCAGTCCTGGATCTACAGCCTCAGTCCTGGGTCGACAGCCTCAGTCCTGGGTCTACAGCCTCAGTCTTGGGTCTACAGCCTCAGTCCTGGATCTACAGCCTCAGTCCTGGATCTACAGCCTCAGTCCTGGATCTACAGCCTCAGTCCTGGGTCTACAGCCTCAGTCCTGGGTCCATTGGTGAATCCACAACTTTGTAAAGTCCTCCGAGACGTCTGCTGTTGTGATTTATTTCCATAAACACATGAATTGAAATTAAAATTAAAATCAAATATTCTGTCTGGTTCTGTCCCTGGTCAGTTTTCCTTCCTCCATCGCCTTATGAAGTGAACGCCTGTGTTAAGGTGCAAGAAACCTCAGATTGTTGTGATTTAGGGCCATACATATATACATTGAAATGATAATGTAGCTGAATGTTATTGTACAAGGTCACACTGCAAAACGTGATGAGAAATGAGTCAAAAATGGCTCAAATTAGGCAAAAAAGTATCTTAATTTTAGTTCATTCTGACTGAGTCTTTAAACAAGATTTTCCAACGAGACAAAGCAAAATGATCTTGTTTGAAAAAGATACAGAAATGTCTTCTTTGGAATGAGAAAACAAAGCATTAGTTCTTGAAATCAGACTAAATGACTGAAAATCTAGTTTTAACACAGCCAGAATGAACTCAAAATAGGACAAAAACCACTCGAATCAAGCAATTATAACCTCATACTTTATCATTTTGTGCAGTGCAGGTCATTTCCACACCACCCTCATGTGAAATAGGCCTTAATTTACTAATAATAAGCCTTAATTCACCTGCTGCTGCTTATGCTAGAGGCTGAAAGTCTAACGGAGGTCTCTCTTGTGCCTCTGTCTTCTCTCACGCCGCACTTAGTCACCAACACTTTCAACTCCGCACTCCCACCCCGAAATTATGTGTCACCTCTATTCAACGTCCTCTTTTGACCGAGGACTGGACACACACACACATACACACACACACACACACACACACACACACACCCTGCTCCTCTCCCTAATAATGGGACGCACTCCTTTTCGCCGCGGCCTGGATCATTATGCCCCAAGTGCCGGCTGTACCTCGTCCCCGGCCTTGACCGCTCCTGGCCACAAATCAGCGGCTAATGTCCATCTCGGGCCCTTGTCACAGACAGACACTCATTTGGCCTGTAAGCTGTAACGGCTAAAGCTAGTTTCTCCTCCCTGTCAGACCGTGGCGTGCACCTGACCCACATGGTAAATCACCATCGGCGCAAAGTTTGGCCCTGTCACCCACTGCCCATCGCAAAAAAACACCTGCTAGCAAGTTGTCACACGCCCACAATTGCTAATAATTTACAATATTGACAGCCGAGACTCAGACCCTTATTAGGCAGCGATATTGCTATTTTCGCCGGTTAATTATCGGCCGCAGACCAATGCGACTTCACTAAGGATACATTCTGTTAAGTGTGTTTTAAATTGAGAGAAAGTGCTGGGGTCATATGGCGCTAATAGCCAAAGTTTAATGCTAACTTGCTGCCAATTAGCGGAGCCAAAAGCAGGTTCTATCAATGTCTATAATAATCGTATACAGTGCAATGTCCGGGGTAAATTGCAGCATTTAAAGTCGCTGCAACAGTGCTGTGTCGTCCTGAGAGAGCGGCGGCCATCTCAGCACTGACATTCGCCGTCTATAATAAGAGTTTATTTGTCAGTATTGATTGTGTCTCGTAAATGCGGAAAGTCAAAGGCAAAAGCGACGTATTGGGTTTCGGTTGTAGCGACGAATACGCGGCGAGAAGTGGTCGAAAACCGCTCGAGATTTGGTAAAAATGTGGATTAGTTTGAGGATATTCTGAGTGACTTCAAACTTTATATTATGTTTTAAAAGATGCAAGAAAATGTGCCTTCATCCAATCAGATTTCTCAGTGCGCTTCGTTCAGTCCTAATATTATATCAGTCAATGCAAAAAACTTTCACACTTTTGCAAAATGGAAGCCACAGAATCATTATTGAACTTTTTTTTTGATTATTTTGTTTTTTTAAATTATGTATTGCTGCTTTGTTTTGTTCTGTAACTTGTGCTCCGTGTCATGTATATGGTCAGGAGCAATAAATAATAATAACAATAAAAAAGAATGACTAGAAAATAAACCCAGTCCTTACAACAGGCATGTCAAACTCAGGCCCGAGAGCCAAATCCGGCCGAAAATCATTATTGGTGGCCCCTAACGTCATTTTTATCATCATAGTGGCTAGTAAGTGGGCCATAGTGGCTCAGTTGGTAGAGCTTTGGCCGTTGAGCCTGAAGGTCGTAGGTTCGAGCCCACCACAAGACCTTCCCACTGATGTCTGCTGTCGTTGTGTCCTTGGGCAAGACACTTAACCCACTTTGTCTTTAAGGAGCGCGGAAGTAATGTTCGCTGCTTGCCTTGATGTGTATATGTATGTGTGTATATGTGTGTATATGTGTATTTATATGTGTGTGTATATGTGTGTGTATATGTGTGTATATGTGTGTGTATGTGTGTGTATGTGTGTGTATGTGTAAATGTATGTGTATATGTATGTGTATATGTATGTGTATATGTATGTGTATATATATGTATGTGTGTGTGTGTATATGTGTGTATATGTATGTATGTGTGTATATGTGTATATGTGTGTGTATATGTGTGTGTATATGTGTGTGTATATGTGTGTGTGTATGTGTATGTATATGTGTATGTGTATGTATATGTGTATGTGTGTGTATATGTGTGTATATGTGTGTGTATATGTATGTGTGTATATGTGTGTGTATATGTGTGTATATGTATGTATGTGTGTATATGTGTGTGTATATGTGTGTGTATATGTGTGTGTATATATGTGTATGTGTATATGTGTGTGTATGTATGTGTGTATATGCATCAAACTGAAAGGACCTTCTTCTTCTATGAACCTGCAGCATTGATGGTAATGGTCCAAGACACGTTATACATCATCTTATATCCACGGTTACCAAATTTAATGTATTCTAAAGTTTTTACCCAACGCATCCGTCAAAGTTGTTTTCAGGAAATAATAATGTAACTCATGTCACATAAAACTAATTTTAAAAAACCGTCAAATCCCATTAATTCTATCGGCCGCCGACCAGAATGAGTTTGCCGCCTCTGCCTTTAACGAACAAACCGCTCAGGACTTTTAAACGCACATTGAAAACATGACTATTGGACAAATCAAGCTGTTGACCGCTCAGATTTAAAGTTTAGTATTGTGTTTTATCTGTATATGTTTGAATGACCTGTTTTAAATCGTAATGTTTTAACTCATTCTTTTCATATCGTGACGTTTGCTGCATTTTTACACCTTTCCTCTGGGACCACAGTTGGAAACTCGCAGTCTGTCCCTGTTCATATAAACTCATTCTTAAACAAATACCCAAGAAATGTCGCCTTTGGAACGAGAACATTGAAATCAATCTAAATGTCTTTGCCTCATTGGAGAATCTGTTTTAACACAGTCAGAATGAGCTCGGATTCAGATAAAAACACCAGATTCAAGCAAAAACAACCTCATATTTGATCATTTTTTGCAGTGTATGGAGTGGTTTTATTCAGCACTTTCTCCACGTTTGGGAGCGATAATTGTGTTGTAATTGTAGTAACTTAGACTTTAGCCACACGTGTGATTACGGTCGTTAGGCTGATGGCAGGAGCAGATCTGGGGCCCTTTAGAATCCTGTCTCTCGGAGCCTCCGGGGCGGCCCTCAGCGACGTATCATTATCTCCGGCCATAAAATAAACACAAAACTTCACCTCTTTTTATTAGCACGAATTTTTATCTATTTGTGTTTTTGTCACACCGGTAAGAACAGTACACTCAGAATATATTTAGTATTTTTTAAATGTGTCTTTGAAGGTTACACACACTGCCAAATGGAGGAAAAATTAGTCAAAAATGGCTCAAATTTGGGGGAATAAGTGTCTTAATCTGAGCTCATTCTGACTGGATTAAAACTATAGATTCTCCAACGAGACAAAGCAAAACGATCTTGTTTTAAGAATATACAATAAATGTTTACTTTGGAATGAGACAATAAAGCAACAGTTCATGAATTAAGACTAAATAACTTAGAATCTGGTTTTAAAACAGACAGAATTTGCTCAAAAAACCACTCGATTCAAGCATTTATTACCTCATATTTGATCTTTTTTTGCAGTGTTTTATGCAGGTGTGCTTAAATAGTAAGATTGTATAAAAACACAATTGTTACATTTTAACCCATTCTTCTTCATCTTTATGAAGTATTTATGAACTTCTGATTCGTTGGCTCTGTTTTGCTGTTTTTGGGGTTTGTACTTGAGTCTGCAGCACTTTGAGGTTTCCTGCTAATGTAAGGTGCAATGTATTATTATTATTATTAGGTGTCGGGTCTAACTTCTTATAACGCATCAGAGAAATCGAGCAAAACATTACGACTTATTGTGATATTTAGATATTTTGGCGCACACATAATTAGACGTGAGAAACACACTCTAAAAACGGATGAAAACAGTCTGTAATTGTGTGTGTTTTGTGCGTGAGGCTCGGTGTCTGTGAGATGAAAACACACTTAGCAAGCAACAATTTAGAGCTTCAGCCTAAATCCTAAACATGTTTTGATTATTGAGGCCACACTTCTTTAATACAAAGGTTGTGTGTGTGTGTGTGTGTGTGTGTGTACAGTATATAGACACACACACAAACACACACACAGTCTATACATATGTTTTTGTTTCATATTCAACTTTATATTAGGTATAGATTTTGGACAGGTCTTGTGCCACTGCAAAAAGTGATCAAAAATTAGTCAAAAATGTCTGAAATTCTGCAAAATGTGTCTTAATTTGAGCACATTTTGACTGCTTTAAAACCAGATTTGCCAGTGGGACAAAGCAAAATGATATTGTTTTAAAAATATATTAGAAATGTCTCTCTTGGAATGAGAAAATACAGCAGCAGTTCTTGAAATGAGACTAAATGACTTTGTCCCATTAGAGAATCTAGTTTTAAAACAGTCAGAATTCACTCAAATCAAGCCAATATTACCTCATATTTTATCAATATTTTTTGCAGTGTGCCTTTGACATCTCTTGCAAAACACTCCTCCACAAATCAAGCACATTTTCGTCTGTATTTGACAAAACTTGCCAACTTTTCCCCGGTTCTCTGTGTCACGTTGCGCTGCTCACACGCCACACACCCTCATGCGCGCTCCCCCAAACCGTGCCGTCGCGTCTCATTCATGTCTTGATACGTTTCTCTCTCTCAGCATTCCTCAGCTTTCAACAGGCTGCACTCGCCTCACCTCGACTTTCTCTGCTTCCTCTTTCCACGCGTGTCTCCGTCTCTTTATAGTCCCGATCCTTCTGCGCTGCTCCGCCGGGTCTGACCTCTCACCATCCTCAACCCGCTTCTTATAGAGTCTGTATATAGTCTTCAGTGGCAAAAACACACACACACGCGCTCTTGTTTACCCGCTCCTGGTCACGGCTGAAGTCTCATTCATTCATAAAAAAGAGAAAAATGAAAAAAATCTGCAAAGAATTGGGGTTTTTGGTTTGTTTTATCCAGGAGTAGGTTGGATTCTTGTCTCTGGTTCGCCCGAGCGCACCTTGTTGTGTGAGGATCATGAGGCACGCGCAGAGAGAGAGAGAGAGAGAGAGAGAGAGAGAGAGAGAGAGAGAGAGAGAGAGAGAGAGAGAGAGAGAGAGAGAGAGAGAGAGAGAGAGAGAGAGAGAGAGAGAGAGAGAGAGAGAGAGAGAGAGAGAGAGAGAGAGAGAGAGAGAGAGAGAGAGAGAGAGAGAAAAAGAGAAAGGGAGGGAGGGAGAGAGATGTCGCACCACTAGTTTTTTTAGCAGGGTGGGTATAGCTCAAAGATAATAATACCCCATCCTCCTCCACAACACAAGTTTAAGCGCAGGGTGTAATAAGCCCATGGCGCAGACACCCTCTGATTTGGGGTCGGACAAAATGAATTTTTAGTTGTGTTTTTTTGGTGTAAAAGGGGAGCGGGGTGAGGAGGGGGGAGTGTGGGGGGGGGGGGGGGGGGAGAAAGGAACGACATGGGGTTGTTTGGGGAGAGACGGAGGGAGGGTGAAAATGGACATGGAAAAACAGAAAAGTTAAGGCGATTTTTGTTTTCTCGTGCACTGCCCAGAGACGAGACGCGAAAAGTAAAAAAAAAAAAAACGTGTGGATCTTTGTTGGTAACTGTTACACACTGCAACAAATGATAAAAAATGAGGTAATAATTGCTTGAATCGAGTGTGTTTTTTATCTTAAGTTGATTTTCTCATTCCAACACTGCAAAAAGTGACAAAATTAAGCAGAAAATTGCTCACATTTGGTAAAATGTGTTTTAATCTGAGCACATTTGGACTAGAATCAAGTCATTTGGGGCCAGTATTATTTTCTTGTTTTCAGAAATCTTGTCAAGTTATATTTTCTCGTTCTGGCCTCCTGCTGGGACTCTGAGGAGCACAGGGACTGGCCTCCTGCTGGGACTCTGAGGAGCACAGGGACTGGCCTCCTGCTGGGACTCTGAGTCAGGACTAAACATGAGGAGACAGCGTTTCAGATGTACGCCGCTAAAATCTGGAACATCCATCCATTTTCTTCCCCTTAATCCATTTCTGGGTCGGGGGGTGGCAGTCAGAGCTGCACCCAGTCACAGAGCACCAGCCTCTCACTGATCCTCCTGCAGGTGGTGAGTCCACAGGAGCTGAGATCTTTCAGTGGGGGCTTTGGGCAAAGTAGGGTTAAGTGTCTTGCCCAAGGACACAACGACAGCAGTCATCAGTGGGAGTCGTGAAGTAGGTCTTACGGTGGGCTCGAACCCACGACCTTCAGGCCCAAAGGCCAATGCTCTACCAACTGAGCCACTGTCGCCCCAAAATCTGGAACAGTCTTCGTGAAAATGTCAGACAGGCTTCTTCTCTGACTAATGCCAAGTTCATGTTTTGTTATCCTTTTGAGTTGCCCTGTGTATAAACTGTGCTATACATATAAACTTGCCTTGCCTACAACAGCCTTCTATAGGGTATAAGACACAAAAAAAGTAAGATTGACAAAAGAAGCAAAAAGAGGAATGGTTTATGTTATGATTTTTTTTTCTACAGAAGTTAAAGGATGAGACCGACTGATAAAAGCCAGGCTCACTTCCTGTATGACATCACTAAACCACGCCCCTTTTTAGACGAGGTGCCCACAACAGGAAGTCCTTCTTCTGATAAGTTCTGCACATTTTGGGTGCACTCAGAAGACCGGAAAGAAGGGACATTTCTTAAATTATCAGCTCAGATTAAGCAGCCATTCAACTCAATTCAATTCAATGTGTTTTATGTATAAGTAGGTCAATAATCTTTAACTATATAGTGCATTTTTACAGACCAAGGTCACCCAAAGTGCTTTATAAAGTTCAGATATTGTTCCATTCTCTCCACACGGTGATGACAGACCATTAAAGCCTCCGACCAAACTCCATCCATTCATTCACTCTCTACATTCAGACTATTGTGCATGTTTTTAGTGGTAGGGGAAACCGTAGCACCTGGAGAAAACCTACGCAGACACAGTTACATGCAAACTCCAATCAGCCACGGAGTCGCAATAATTGTTTTTTGTTTTTAAGACTGGTATTTAAGCATTCACAGCTAGCTAAGAAACATGCTTATTTTGCATATTTTTAGTGTGCTCCCTGTGTCTCTCCCTACTGTCCTGTCTGTGCGCTGCAACATTGAAATTTCCCCATTGCCAGACGAATAAAGGATCTCTTATCTTATCTTTATCTCGGAGGACGACAAAACTGTCAATTCGCCAACAACAGATCAGAGAATCAAACCGTTCAAACTCAAGAAATGCAGTGATAAAAACACATAGAGACGTTGGTTCATAAATGTGGTTAAATGGAGCGTCCTGGATCATCACCTCTGTCATTAGAGCCTCCTGGATTAGCAAAGAACAACTTTTAAAAACCCGATGGGAGAAAATTAACTTTCATACATGACGGTGGCGGGGTCAGACCACCATTGTTTGCCCGACGGTTGGCAGGTTTTCTAATCCGAGCCGAAATATCTGTGCGCGAATATAAAAACGTAACTTGACAATCACAACTGTGTGACTTCAACAAACAAGTGGACATCAGAGCGAGAGGCAGACGGCTTTGCCCACTTTTCTCGGGGGGAAAAACAGGGACCAAAGGCGACCGCAGCCCGAGCCCTTGTGGTTTACACTGTTTTGTGCCGGGTGAGAGGCCGAGCCAACTCACTCTGGCATCCCGTATATATAAACAGGGTCAGCCACTAACTGCTGCAGCTCGGCCAGACATCCAGAAAACAACACTTGCTGCACTGTACCAGGGTCGAGCTAAAGATGTCCCGCCGGCGCTAGCAACTCGCTCAAAGTGGAGCCGACAGGGAAATCTATGTGTTTGAATGTTATAGACAAATTACTTCTGTCCTTGAATAATAATAATAATAATAATAATACTAATAAAAATACGGATGCATCGGTTTTATGGACTCGTCTGGACACTCAAAGAATCTTCACATGTCATTATACATTCACTATATATGCACAGTGGTGATAAACTACAACATTAGCCACAGCTGCCCTGGGGATGTGATGAATCTGTCTGTGTGTGTGTGTGTGTGTGTGTGTGTGTGTGTGTGAGAGTGTGTGTGTGTGTGTGTGTGTGTGTGAGTGTGTGTGTGTGTGTGTGTGTGTGTGTGTGTGTGTGTGTGTGTACTGTGTGTGTGTGTATACTGTGTGTGTGTGTGTATGACTGTGTGTGTGTGTGAGAGTGTGTGTGTGTGTGTGTGTGTGTGTACTGTGTGTGTGTGTGTATACTGTGTGTGTGTGTGTGTACTGGGTGTGGGTGTGAGAGTGTGTGTGTGTGTGTGTGTGTGTGTGTGTGTGTGTGTGTGTGAGTAGAGTGTGTGTGTGTGTGTGTGTATACTGTGTGTGTGTGTGTACTGTGTGTGTACTGTGTGTGTGTGTGTACTGTGTGTGTGTGTGTACTGTGTGTTTGTGTGTGTGTGTGTGTGTGTGAGTGAGAGTGTGTGTGAGTGTGTGTGTGTGTGTGTGTGTGTGTGTGTGTGTGAGAGTGTGTGTGTGTGTGTGTGTATACTGTGTGTGTGTGTGTACTGTGTGTGTACGTGTGTACTGTGTGTATGTGTGTGTGAGAGTGTGTGTGTGTGTGTGTGTGTGTGTGTGTGTGTGTGTGTGTGTGTGTGTGTGTGTGTGTGTGTGAGAGTGTGTGTGTGTGTGTGTGTGTGTGAGAGTGTGTGTGTGTGTGTGTATACTGTGTGTGTGTGTGTACTGTGTGTGTACTGTGTGTGTGTGTGTACTGTGTGTATGTGTGTGTGTGTGTGTGTGTGTGTGTGTGTGTGTGTGTGTGTACTGTGTGTATGTGTGTGTGTGTGTGTGTGTGTACTGTGTGTGTCTGTGTGTTCTGTGTGTGTCTGTGTGTGCTGTGTGTGTGTGTGTACTGTGTGTGTACTGTGTGTGTGTACTGTGTGTATGTGTGTGTGTGTGTGTACTGTGTGTATGTGTGTGTGTGTGTGTGTACTGTGTGTCTGTGTGCTGTGTGTGTGTGTGTGTGTGTGCGTGTACTGTGTGTGTGTGTGCTGTGTGTGTGTGTGTGTGTGTGTGTGTGTGTGTGTGTGTGTGTAGTGTGTGTGTGTGTGTGTGTACTGTGTGTGCTGTGTGTGTGCCTGGCATGTGCTAGTACCTGTTTACAGACACCTGCTGGGCCCTGGGTGCTCTGCGTGTGCGGGCGCCAGATTGGAGCTGTAGAGGGGGCTGTGGTGTGAACAGTCATTAGATCAAGTTGATATCGCGGTGACTTTGGTGCTGGGCTCAGCGTGCGCCGCACAAACCAGAACATCACAGTCTGAGAGCGGACCGACCACACGTCTGTTCACCTCAACTCTCTCTGTGTTTGGCTCTAAAGCACAACCGCAGTCGTCTCGGAGGAACTTTACAAAGTCGAGGGTTTGCCAACGACGGATCAAACCGTTCAAACACAGGAAATGCAAAAACAACACTGCAAAAAGGGATGAAAAAAAATTGTCAAAAATGGCTCAAATTTTGCAAAATGTGTCTTAATTTGACCACATTTCGACCTTAAACAAGATCCACCAACGGGACAAAAGAAAAATCATCTTGTTTTAAAAAAGATACAAGAAATGTCTCCCTCGGAATTAGAAAATAAACAGTTCTTGAAATAAAACTTTAACACTTTTTTTATAATTATTATTTTCAAGATAGAGATTTTATTCTTGTTATTGAAGCTAAAGTTAAAGATATTGTTTTATTTATTTGAATGAGTACAGCTTTTGTTCATGTCTCCTCTTTCCTACTGTTCTAAAACTTGTGGTGCAACACTGACATTTCCCCGCTGTGGGACGAATACAGGATCTCTTCATCTTAATCTTAGAATCTTGTTTTAACACAGTCCGAATGTGCTCAAACTAAGATAAAAACCACTCGATTCAAACAAATATTGACCTCATATTTCATAATATTTTAAATGTTTTAAACCGGGTTAAAAACAGTTGTGTTCAGCTGTGCCACAACTGAGGGATTTTATATTTGTATCTTTCTTTTTAAAGTACTGTGATCATTTTAATGTCATCTTGCTCTGTCTGTGCAGGTGACGGTGAGAATCAGATTAAGATAACAATTTGTTTTCATTTATTTATATTTTCTATGTATTTGTTTTACACTTAATCCTTTCATTTTTACAGCTTGTAGTTTAAAATGTTGGCTGCAACACTGACATTTCCCACTGAAGCTTCTCTAATCTCCGTTCTGACATCATAAATTGAGACATCTACGTTTTAAATGATCTGAAAGTGCGGCTGAGGATGTACAGACTGTAGAGAAAGTGCCGAGTTCATTATCGGTTGTTTTACGGTTTTGTGCAGAAGAAAAAAGAATAAAGCTTTTCCAGAACGTACGAAAGAAAGTGCTTTTGAGGCCGCTTCTGTTCCTTCTGCCGCTTCTGTTCCTCCTGCCGCTTCTGTTCCTCCTGCCGCTTCTGTTCCTCCTGCCGCTTCTGTTCCTCCTGCCGCTTCTGTTCCTCCTGCCGCTTCTGTTCCTACTGCCGCTTCTGTTCCTCCTGCCGCTTCTGTTCCTCCTGCCGCTTCTGTTCCTCCTGCCGCTTCTGTTCCTCCTGCCGCTTCTGTTCCTCCTGCCGCCTCTGTTCCTCCTGCCGCCTCTGTTCCTCCTGCCGCTTCTGTTCCTCCTGCCGCTTCTGTTCCTCCTGCCGCTTCTGTTCCTCCTGCCACTTCTGTTCCTCTGTTCCTCCTGCCGCCTCTGTTCCTCCTGCCACTTCTGTTCCTCCTGCCGCTTCTGTTCCTCCTGCCGCCTCTGTTCCTCCTGCCGCTTCTGTTCCACCTGCCGCCTCTGTTCCTCCTGCCGCTTCTGTTCCTTCTGCCGCTTCTGTTCCTCCTGCCGCTTCTGTTCCTCCTGCCGCTTCTGTTCCTCCTGCCGCTTCTGTTCCTCCTGCCGCTTCTGTTCCTCCTGCCGCTTCTGTTCCTCCTGCCGCCTCTGTTCCTCCTGCCGCTTCTGTTTCTCCTGCCGCTTCTGTTCCTCCTGCCACTTCTGTTCCTCCTGCCGCTTCTGTTCCTCCTGCCACTTCTGTTCCTCCTGCCGCCTCTGTTCCTCCTGCCGCTTCTGTTCCTCCTGCCGCTTCTGTTCCTCCTGCCGCCTCTGTTCCTCCTGCCGCCTCTGTTCCTCCTGCCACTTCTGTTCCTCCTGCCGCTTCTGTTCCTCCTGCCGCTTCTGTTCCTCCTGCCGCCTCTGTTCCTCCTGCCGCTTCTGTTCCACCTGCCGCCTCTGTTCCTCCTGCCGCTTCTGTTCCTCCTGCCGCTTCTGTTCCTCCCGCCGCTTCTGTTCCCTCTGCCGCTTCTGTTCCTCCTGCCGCTTCTGTTCCTCCTGCCGCTTCTGTTCCTCCTGCCGCTTCTGTTCCTCCTGCCGCCTCTGTTCCTCCTGCCGCTTCTGTTTCTCCTGCCGCTTCTGTTTCTCCTGCCGCTTCTGTTCCTCCTGCCGCTTCTGTTCCTTCTGCCGCTTCTGTTCCTCCTGCCGCTTCTGTTCCTCCTGCCGCTTCTGTTCCTCCTGCCGCTTCTGTTCCTCCTGCCGCCTCTGTTCCTCCTGACGCTTCTGTTCCTCCTGCCGCTTCTGTCCCTCCTGCCGCTTCTGTTCCTCCTGCCGCTTCTGTTCCTTCTGCCGCTTCTGTTCCTTCTGCCGCTTCTGTTCCTCCTGCCACTTCTGTTCCTCTGTTCCTCCTGCCGCTTCTGTTCCTACTGCCACTTCTGTTCCTCCTGCCGCTTCTGTTCCTCCTGCACTTCTGTTCCTCCTGCCGCTTCTGTTCCTCCTGCCGCCTCTGTTCCTCCTGCCGCCTCTGTTCCTCCTGCCACTTCTGTTCCTCCTGCCGCTTCTGTTCCTCCTGCCGCCTCTGTTCCTCCTGCCGCCTCTGTTCCTCCTGCCGCTTCTGTTCCACCTGCCGCCTCTGTTCCTCCTGCCGCTTCTGTTCCACCTGCCGCCTCTGTTCCTCCTGCCGCTTCTGTTCCTCCTGCCGCCTCTGTTCCTCCTGCCGCCTCTGTTCCTCCTGCCACTTCTGTTCCTCGTGCCGCTTCTGTTCCTCCTGCCGCCTCTGTTCCTCCTGCCGCTTCTGTTCCTCCTGCCGCCTCTGTTCCTCCTGCCGCTTCTGTTCCTTCTGCCGCTTCTGTTCCTCCTGCCGCTTCTGTTCCTCCTGCCGCTTCTGTTCCTCCTGCCGCTTCTGTTCCTCCTGCCGCTTCTGTTCCTCCTGCCGCCTCTGTTCCTCCTGCCGCTTCTGTTCCTCCTGCCGCTTCTGTTCCTCCTGCCGCTTCTGTTCCTCCTGCCGCTTCTGTTCCTCCTGCCACTTCTGTTCCTCTGTTCCTCCTGCCGCTTCTGTTCCTCCTGCCACTTCTGTTCCTCCTGCCGCTTCTGTTTCTCCTGCCACTTCTGTTCCTCCTGCCGCTTCTGTTCCTCCTGCCGCCTCTGTTCCTCCTGCCGCCTCTGTTCCTCCTGCCACTTCTGTTCCTCCTGCCGCTTCTGTTCCTCCTGCCGCCTCTGTTCCCTCCTGCCGCCTCTGTTCCTCCTGCCGCTTCTGTTCCACCTGCCGCCTCTGTTCCTCCTGCCGCTTCTGTTCCACCTGCCGCCTCTGTTCCTCCTGCCGCTTCTGTTCCTCCTGCCGCTTCTGTTCCTCCTGCCGCTTCTGTTCCTCCTGCCGCCTCTGTTCTGTTGTGACAATTATACAAAATTGACTACGTTCCAAGAGAGACATTTTAAACAAGATCCTTTTACTTTGTCCCATTGGAGAATCTTGTCTAATGGAAAATGAAGATACTTTTAGCCAAATTTGAGCATTTTTTAGATTTATTTTTCGTCACTTTTTGCAGTGTTCAAAAGCTGAAGCTGCTTCTCCCACCGTTGGCAAACTTCAAACATGATTTCATTTGGTTTTCAAACTATTTTGATATCTATCTTAACATATTGTGATACATGTCTCTTACATTATCCAAAGAAGAAGAAGTCGCTCTTGGTCCAACGTGGCTTTGGACCAAGAGCGACTTCTGGACCGTGCTGTAAAGGTTTTCCAGAAGATGCTGTACAAAAGCATTGGGTAATTCTCTTTCCAGGTACACCCCCACAGGCCCAGAGTGGTATTGCAGTATGTCAGCGCACGTGGTCATGGACCTTTTGGAGCCGGGACCCGCCCCCACTGGACAGGACTCTAGTCTGTTGTATATAATGTGAGTTTGTGCTGGGAGCTTCACATGAGAGTCGACTTTTTGCTTTTCCGTCCTTAGTGTTTTCTTTAGTTCATGTTCAGACCATAAAAAAATCTGACATTTGACTTGAGTCTTATTTTCCTCCATTTCTGTTAAGTCTTTGGATAATGTAAGAGACATGTATCACAAATATATCGCAGAATTGTATCGCAATAAGTTAAGAACCGCAATAACATTGAATTGTGGCCCAAACATCAAATGTTTTCCTTCCCTAAAAACTACTAAAGCTTGTAATCCGCTGTCACCAGGTCCAGACCTTTGTGAATAAGGTTTATAAAGAGATGTCGAGGTTATACAGCAGGAGAAAGGGTCTTTATGATGTCTCTCCTCGGGCCTCCTCCTGGTCTCCTCCTGGTCTCCTCTGTCCAAGGCCAAACCATGAACACCGTAGTCCACTGTCGCCTTTATCTCTGAACGACGGTTGCTGCTCTGTCAAAGCTTTTGCATTTTCTACCACCGGCTGCTTTCAAAACACACTCTTTCACTTTGGTTTATGTATATTTCTGTCTCTCTCTGAGGCAGGGGCTTTGTCGGGGCTCGAGTCATGGATCACTTGGTTTCTATTGGACTTTATGCTTTTCCAAGGTGCAGCTTATGGCACAAACCCCAGCGTCACAAACAACACTGATGCACAGACATTTTATCCAGGATCTAATTTTGAGATTAGATTTTTGAATTAATTTTATCATATTAGATGTTGTCCACTCTCACTTGTTGTTTGACTGTTGGAGGATCTGGGACCTGGTCACCGCTGATTATTCCTCCCACTAGTTTTGGAGGTGAAGTAGTTGTAGCGTTGTACATTATTCACAGCCTGCGTGGTTTTCATCACTAAATGTTTGGACGGTTTTACAGAACTTTGAAAGCTGCTTCGACATAAATATGCAGTTTCTTCCGTCTCTGTTTTTCTGGATAATTCACCTGTTCATGATCTGTTGGAAGTCTTTGTTGGAGCAGTGGTCTTGGAGAGGAGGATGGAGCCCCTGAGATCTCCTCCTCCTGAGACCTCCTGAGACTTACTGAGGCCCCCTCAGACCTTCTCAGACCTCTTCAGACATTATGACACCTCCTCAGACCTCTCTGTCTGTTCTGCAGGTGCCGTGGTCTGGATGGGTCTGGTGTGAGCATTAGTGGGTCATGGCTGATGGAGGACACCTCCTGGTGGTGATAACGAGGAGAGGCCTTGGTGGGACAGCCTGTGTCTGCCCTCAGGTCCTATGTGTGTGTATGTGTGTGTGTGTGTGTACGTGTGTGTGTGTGTGTGTACGTGTGTGCGTGTGTGTGTGTGTGTGTGTGTGTGTGTACGTGTGTGTGTGTGTGTGTGTACGTGTGTGTGTGTGTGTACGTGTGTGTGTGTGTGTGTACGTGTGTGTGTGTGTGTACGTGTGTGTGTGTGTGCGGAGCAGAGCCTGCGGCGCTCTGGCACCTCCTAATTAAAAGCAGTCAGGCTGCAGGGCAGGGGAGACAGATGCCTGTCATGAAGCACTACACACGGAGACACACGTGCAACACTTCAGCCACACGCACGACGCATGATCCAGACACAGCCTCCTGATCCGTGTCTCCCGCCCACTCAGGTACCGCTCAGGTATCACAGGTAACTGTGACCAGCTCATGACAAATTGGGAGTTAGTGTTAATGTGCTCGCTCTGCCTCAGCTGCGAAGCTGCAGAATGTTTTGTTGCCTGGTTTAAAATTGACCAGGTTCATGAAAATATTAATGCTTTTTTGGGACTTGCCCCAGGTTAAAACAAATTTGACTAATTAAAGTTAAACTAGTCAATAATCTCCACAACTTTAGCTTGAAAACCTGAATGATGTCCAAGTCGTGCCCAGAGCCAGTCTCAGCTCGCTCCTGCTCCTCTCTGCTGCAGATTGACACGTCTCTCTTCCTCCCAGCACAGAATGAGACATAATTGTCCTGAATGTCTGTTACCTGCAGACTCTGTCACTTTGTATGTGCCCCCCCACGTGCAGCCCGGGCTGGAGGCAGCCACATCTAGTACTTATTTGGCTAACCGCTGTTTGTCTGGGGTAGGTGGGTGGATCAAGGCTCTCTGCTCTCCTTTCTCTCCTAGTGATTAGATAGCATAAGCAGGCCAACTAGCCGAACCCACACACTCATGTGTCTAAAACTGTGTTCTCAGAGCTGCCTCTCACGCACAGGTGGGTGGACCCACTTATTCAACCCAGATCTTTTCTCAGACACTGCAAAATCGTGTCCTTTTTCCCCCCTTCATTCTCGCCTTTATCTATTCTCTCACGGAGATTGACATTTGACTGTACAGAATGTGTGTGAATGTGCAGTTATATATGTGTGTGTGTGTGTGTGTGTGTGTACTGTACTGTATGTTTTCACTGTCTGAAGGTAACATAAAGACAGTAAAGCAATGGCCTCTGTCAGTATTGAGTTTATAGAACTAGAGAATTAGAGGCTCAATGCCAGGATTATTCTGGCAACAATGACTGACCTAAAAACATGAGAACTTTTTACATATCGGCTCAATATTCACACAATCGTTGTCGTCATTGGTTTAAATGACTATTGTGTTTTTGCCTTGTTGCTTTCATTTTCACTTTCCTCTGTTGTTGTTTGTTGTTTATAATAAAAGTTGAAAAAAGCCATCTGTAAAATCATCTCCAATCCACCTGTGTGTGAAAAACTATATTGTTAGAAATAGTTTGCCGTGATCTGTGTCCCAGACGGCTGCACGCTCAGCTCAGGACAAGAGAGTTTTGAATGAATAGTTGGTTAGAATCTGTGGATTTCTATCAGAACATGTCGCGACCTGCAGCGATGAGTCTGACGCACAAACACTGATCCCTGCAACGTCCTGCTCTGGGTCAGTTTTAGCCAAATCTGTAATCTGTCCTTTCACCAGCTTCATATCACTCTCTTTTCCCTCTGGTTTCATTGTGTCCTCTGTGAAGGATGGACTCTGCACTAAACTTAAGAACAGAGCCTGGTCGTACCACACCATCGTACTCATTTCATTTCGTACTAAGGTCTGGATTTACTCCATTGAGCTTCGTGAACAGGTGGGAGGGGTTAACTCCTTTTGCAGATTGAAACCATTGGATCTGGACTCCGAGTGAGTGTAGCATTTAGCCTAGCTTTAGCATTTAGCCTAGCTTTAGCCATCTGCTTTGCCACTAACGGAGCCCGTGGGGAGTAGAGCTACAACATCTTTGCCAACAATGACATTTGCTAAACATTCCTCTTGCTCCGGCTTCAATTTCTTGATATTTGGAGCCGAACCAGAACAGATTATTTTACTATCGCATTCTCCGCCAAACTACAACCAGCAAATTCAGCCTCTATAGGATCAGACCCAGACGTACGTAGGAAATGATTATGGACTGGAGCTTAAGGATGGCTAAGGCCAGGGTACATCTATGCACTAAAGCTGTGTTTTTCAACAAGTGGGCCGTGGTACGTTAGTGGGCCTAGAGAGGATGTTTGGGGAACCTTTAGAAATGATCCAATATCACTGAAATGGTCAAAATACTGTGAAAAGTTAGAGAAGGAGAAGATTAGAAAGACTGTTTGATTTTCTTCATAAACAGTTTGATGAGAAGGACTTGTAATGTCGATACATGTAAATGTGGCCGTATTTCATGAAATATATCAGTTTGCTGGAGAAGTATGGTAACTTGAGCACTATCCTCTCCTCCTTCCTACTTTATCTGTTTAGCATTATTAGGATTTTGACTGTAGTTTGTTCATTGCTATTCACCCGTTGTCCCATTGTCTGTTTCATGGTACGATGACGGGATCTCTGAGCCTGGCCTCCTGCATCTACACCTGCGGACTGCCCCGCCCGACCCGCCTGGGAGTGCTTCAGTCCTGCACCGGACCTGTCCACGTTCAGCGTCCACTGGTCCACGTTCTGTAGCTAGCTTAGGTCCTGGATCATTAGTCTGTCCGTCCGGAGGAGCGGATCCCTTTCTCATATGGGTCTCCCTCCCTGTGGGTTTCCCTAGTTCTCCCCAAGGTTTCTCACTTTTTCCCACTGGGTTTTTTAAGAGTTGTTCCTTGTGGATGCAGGAGGGTCTTGTTGGACAGTTAGTGTCCAACAGAAAGGATTGGTGATGATCAGGACACTTTAGCATTCTACAACATGTATGGACATTTTCTTCTGTGTGTGCTTTATATTCTTCATGTGTTTTAACTGTTGATTCTCTGACCTGTGTTGGTGATTTCAATGGTTTTGTTAAGTCTCTGAGGGTGTATTCAGACCTGCACATTTGCTCCACTTTAAACGGACCAGGATTCGTTTGGAACTCTGATCCGAAAGTTTTTATGCATGTCTGAATACACACAAACGAATCCAGGTCCGGACCAAAGAACCGAACCGAGACCCACTTTTTTAGGTGGTCTCGGTCCGCTTCCAAACGAATTCTGGTCCAAACCGAATCAGGTTTGAATACATCCGGTGTCGATCCGACACAACTCCAAGATACGTGCGCATTTTTTGGGCTTAACAAGCCGCAGACAGAAACTGTGAGGAATTAGCCATGCAGCGGCTAACAATGCAGCTAACTATGATGCTAACGCTACACAACAACACTGAGCCGTGTGCAGACCTGGAGCAGTGAGGAGACGCTGTGCAACATGAGGCTTATGGAGTTACAACTGTTCACAGTATACATTGATGTTAATGGCAGCATCTTCAAATACTTTGCATTATTAAAAACCTGACACTGTTTGACTCACGTCTCAAAAAGCAATATCCCGCATCATGTAGTGAAATGTGTTCTTTGGTTCATACCTGATCCTCAGCATCTGTTTGTCCCGTGGTTATTATAGATCCATGGTTTATCCACATGCTGAACAGGGCCGTTATCATAATAGATCCATGTGTGGGACAGGACACGGAGCGCACAGACAGTCTCCTTCGGCTTTCTCCTCACGCATTCTCCGACGCTGTTCCAATATTTAAAACAACGTGTTTGGCCTGTGTCATATGAGCTGCTGCTGTTGATGTTGAAGGTGGTTTTGCTCTAAAAAGAGCAAACATAGGCAGAGCAGACATGCTGCACATACGAGCTCAATGTTTTCTGCCGGTTCCGCGTCTATCCTCCGTGAGCTCTCTCTGTCCAATAGGAGCCGATCGTCACACGTGTCGATATGTTTATATAAAAAAGTTCACTTGCAAAAAGGACAGTCCGAATACGAACCGGAGCAAAAGAAAAAAGTTTGGTCCGCTTTTGATTCGGATCAAGCAAGCGGAGCAAAGGACTTTTCAGGTCTGAATACACCCTGAGATGACTTCTGTTGTGACCTAGGGCTATACAAGAATAAGTATTGTATATGTGTCACTTTCAGCTGGTTCTGTGCCGCGGCTCAAAAAGGTCAGGAAACACGGCATTAAAGTTCTTTCATAGATTTTTTTGATGACCAGGAATCAGTGATGGAATCTACAGCAAGTACATATTATACACGTTAGAAAGAAACATGCATTTAAGGGTTTCCTTTTTCACGTCTGTCAAAGCTCAAAAAGGAGTGGGAAGAAGTCAAACTTGTACGCTCCAACCTCATACACTGTGTATCTGAATTCACCTTATACGGTTACACACACACACACACACACACACACACACACATATACATACAGACATTCAGATTCAGATTCAGAGAGACAGAGGGGATCCCAACAGCACTCGTCTCGGAGGACTCGCTCAACCACAGTCTGAAAACAGGAAATGCAATAATAACAAACGCAAAGATAAAGACATTGGTTTGTAAGGAGCAGATGAGCTCTGTCTGTTCAGGTTAATCATGTCCTGGATCATTACTGTCCTTAAAACCTATGGCATCGGCGAGGAACGGACCCAAAACCGATCCAGGACTGAGGCAGTATAGGACTGGGACTGTAGGACTTGGACTGAGGCTGTAGATCCAGGACTGAGGCTGTAGACCCAGGACTGAGGCTGTAGACCCATGACTGAGGCTGTAGATCCAGGACTGAGGCTGTAGGAATTGGACTGAGGCTGTAGATCCAGGACTGAGGCTGTAGGAATTGGACTGAGGCTGTAAATCTAGGACTGAGGCTGTAGATCCAGGACTGAGGCTGTAGACCCAGGACTGAGGCTGTAGACCCATGACTGAGGCTGTAGATCCAGGACTGAGGCTGTAGACCCAGGACTGAGGCTGTAGACCCATGACTGAGGCTGTAGATCCAGGACTGAGGCTCTAGATCCAGGACTGAGGCTGTAGATCCAGGACTGAGGCTGTAGACCCAGGACTGAGACTGTAGATCCAGGACTGAGGTTGTAGATCCAGGACTGAGGCTGTAGATCCAGGACTGAGGCTGTAGATCCAGGACTGAGGCTGTAGACCCAGGACTGAGGCTGTAGACCCAGGACTGAGGCTGTAGACCCAGGACTGAGGCTGTCTGGGGCAGGACTTCCTCATTTCCTCATTTCTTGCATCTTTTTAAAACATAAGATATTATTGCTTTTTCCTCAATTTGCTGTCATAACATGCTCAAAAAACTACACATTTTACCAAATTTTAGCAATTTTTGACCCATTTTTCATCACTTTTTGCAGTGTATGGATGAATCAACAGATGTAAACCCATACATTTATCGTGATGAGAACGTTTTCCAAAGCCTGTGTGTGTTTCATCAAACCAAACCCAAAAGATTCTGAAGAGGCTGGTCCTGCCTTGTGCTCTGTGGGATTTTTGTTTCTTTTTTTTTGCCAAGACGCACTGTTTTTTTTTTTTTTTTTTTTGTGAGGAACGCAACAAACAGCAATCCCACAGAAGGAGGTTTTTTTGGCAGGGACCAGGCCTCCCACCCGCTGCAGCCTCCTCCAGCCTCCTCCCTCCTCTGAGTGTGTGAGGGCGGCTTACTCACTCACTCACTCACTGCACCGACGAGCAAACCCTTCCACACGCAACACACAACCTGCACCAGCCGCTCTGGAGGAGGCACAGCAGACCCACACACATGTACAGGGCTCGATATGACACGACAACTTCATCGCAACCTCCACACGACCTCAACACAACCTCAACTGAGCCTCAACACAACCTCAACTGAACCTCAACGGAACCTCCACACAACCTCAACACTTTCTCAACACAACCTCAACACAACCTCACACAACCTCAACACAACCTAAACACAACCTCAACACAACCTCAACACAACCTCAACAGAACCTCAACAGAACCTCAACACAATCTCAACACAACTTCAACACAACCTCAACACAATCTCAGCACAATCTCAACACAACCTCAACACAACCTCAACAGAGCCTCAACACAACCTCAACACAACCTCAACACAACCTCAGCACAATCTCAACACAACCTCAACACAACCTCAACACAATCTCAACACAACCTCAACACATTCTCAACACAACCTCAACACAACCTCAACACAACCTCAACACAACCTCCACACAACCTCCACACAACCTCAACACAACCTCCACACAACCTCCACACAACCTCAACACAACTTCAACACAACCTCAACTGAACCTCAACACAACCTCAACACAACCTCAACAGAGCCTCAACACAACCTCAACACAACCTCAATACAACCTCAACAAAACCTCCACACAACCTCCACACAACCTCAACACAACCTCAACACAACCTCAACACAATCTCAACACAACCTCAACACAATCTCAACAGAACCTCAACACAACCTCAACCCAACCTCAACACAACCTCAGCACAATCTCAACACAACCTCAACACAACCTCAACACAATCTCAACAGAACCTCAACACAACCTCAACCCAACCTCAACACAACCTCAGCACAATCTCAACACAACCTCAACACAACCTCAACACAACCTCAACACAACCTCAACACAATCTCAACACAACCTCAACACAACCTCAACACAATCTCAACACAACCTCAACACAACCTCA